CCCCCCCTACCCTTCCCCCAGCCACAGAGTCATACCAGGTTAGGCCCACCAGAACACAAATAGTAATGAGAACCAGTAAAACAGAAAACATCCCTCATTCATTAACGAGGAATAAATGAGCAGGGTCTAGTTACAGAAGCTTGCTTCAATTATGCATTTCTTATAGTCAACCACCATGCTGCATGGTTCAGTGGAATGAGCAAAATCATCGAAAACTACGTAGTAATAATCTAAGCATGCTCACTAAAATAAGATAAGCATAAAATAAGATTCTTTCTTGCTGTCGGGGAACGCCAGAGTGCACCAATATTATCACACGAGTTTCTTTTGGCATTTGCCATGTTGTAAAAACCTCATTGTCTTTTTTGATTACCTGAGAGATGTGTGGAACAAAAGGTGTCCCATAAGTCCACGTACACGGCCGGTAAGACTCTCTGATTTCGTGCTGAAAAACTAAATGAAAACACATGTAAAAATTTATTTACTGTTTCCTGCGCCAGAAGGGGATCAAGTGGCGTAGCCCTAGTTTACTTCAACACATTTCCATTTGTCCTTAACTTACTGTTAGTGACATACTGTTTTCGTCACACACACACACACAGTCTACCTGTAAATGTGCACCATGGCTGTGCGCAATAAACCTCAAGGTCCTGCTGATCATCTTGCGCTTTTCTGGGTCAAAATCCTGCCAAAAGCATCAATAATGTAACGAATGTCAATCGCTATACCAAGATACATAAAGGTAACAGGTGAGAATTGACTGAATGCGTACTGAAGGAGGAATAGAAACTATTCATTTACCTGATAAATGTCATATTTTCCACCAATGATGGCCAAAGGAATAGGGAATGGTTCAACCAGAGACTTATCCTTCAAATAAAATAAAAGGTCAGATTAGTTTTTCCTTCACTGGATCTAACAAGCTTCATAAGTGACAAGACATGGGGCAAAGTTGAAGAGAAGAAACAATATAAACAAAACAATAGAACGAGTGGACAATGGAATCTATGTTTGTTTTGGTCAATCTTGACAGCTCTTATTATCGTGTGTGACATTATTGAAGACATGACTTTAAACACTGCTCAAACGCCTTACTCTTTGGCGATTGTCCACATCTACCTTTGGTACAAAACCTCTAAAACACAAGAAAGAACTAGAGCAGCCAAGTCTTACTGAATCAAGGATGAACACAGCATTACAGTCAGCACATTAAGCACACGTCACCTAAAATATACTTACTGGATGATCATCACCAAACTTCTTCCAAGCATTCTTTTTCATCTCATTGACAACACTGCATATTAAACACAAGAACAACAAGACATACAATGATGTTAATTCGAAGTTTCTCTCACATTTGATGAGCAGTGAAGATTGGGATGGGAGGGGGGCTCACGTTGTAGGGTAGCTATTGCATTCTGCTTAATGTTTGTTACTTTTTTATTTTTCGATAAGCCTATTATGCTTGGATAAGCTACCCTAACTTTCAATTTGGTATAGTTTGAGAGCACCCAGACTGGGCATGTTTGATATTTCATTTTGGACATATTTGTGGGCACGTGCACTTCAGCTAGAAATACGTCTAAGTTTAGCCCCTACTAGACTTCTCCAATGGATTCCTTCCACCTCAACTGCATTTGCCTAATGATGGGTAGGGTGAGTAGGAATTAGATTAGATATTCATAAACATTTAGTGCTCTTAACCAAAGGAACATTAATAAAGTAAGGCAAACTCCCTAAATCTAATTCAGGAGCATAGCCAGGATTTTTCAAAAGAGGAGGTCTAAATTAAAAAAGAACACACATCTCTTTTTTCATCCCCAAAAAAGGCCGGAACAAAGGAAAAACATAAAGAGCTGGCATTATGCTTTACTGTTACGAAAAAAATGGAAAATTACAGTTATTATTACAAGAAGCCATCATTTTGTTGTCACAAAGAAGGGGGACCCTGCCCCTTTACAAACCCCCTGCCTGTATGCCTCTGTAATATGATGTGTCGCAATAGACAACTACATCAGAAGCAGCTCACATCGAGATTGAATTGGAATTGGAATAGATTTGATTTTCAAAAAGAGGCAAAAATTGGCATACGCAAACAACTTTACTCGGGAATTAGATTATATGATGAAAGGGAATGGATAAAAGGAAACTCAGAAAAAACCACCGCTAATATGTTAAGAATCTTAATTACAACAGTGAAAAATAGGTGCCTTGGAAGCAGCACACAACACCAATTCTCCACTTTAAAAATAACAAGACTAGTGCTCTGCCAATCATTGACAGCATTTAGAATACAGTTATTTATTTTCAAAAAGATTGCAAAGGGCAATTGGCAGCTGCATGTCTAAAAGGAACTGTGTGGTACTAAGAATTTCTTCATCGTTTCTTAGATAACAAAACAATTCAGCGAAGACCTTAAATGTAGGTGGCGAGTTGACCTTATTAGATTCATGTCTCCATGATAGTGTGACCACAATTCCTTTCGGCATTGCGATTGCCAATCATTAATCACCATTTGCTGTTTGCCCCTGCAACTTTCTTGAAATAGCTGTAATTATAATAAAGGACACAGTGAATTTTACCCTGGGTTTTTTCTTGCTAATTCTTCCAAAACTTTATTAACTCTTGACTTAACCTAAAATAAAACCATGATGAGCAGTCAGATACAGAAAAAATAATCATACAAACCCTGATGATCAATTTCTATCAATCATTTGACAATATTCAGACAAATACCCCCGACTAACCTGGCTAAGGAGTGTCTCCATGGTTACCCATAACTCATTTGGCAAAGACAGGTCCAATACAATAGCAACACTGAGAGTTCTGCAGTCAAAATTGATTATTATCCATTATTTTTTAATAATTACATTAAAATGCATTAATAATTAAGGCCCAACTCTTAACTTGCGATATCAACACACCCCTAAAAGCCTTTCCTCCATAGTACTCTCAGATCAGCCTACATGGATCAGAGGCCCCCATCCCCAGCATTGGGTATACTGGGATCAAGCTACATCCCAGCACCCAGCATTGGGTACTCTGGGATCAAGCTACATCCCAGCACCCCACATTGGGTACTCTGGGATCAAGCTACATCCCAGCACGTCACGTTGGGTACTCTAGGATCAAGCTACATCCCAGCAGGCCACATTGGGTACTTTGGGATCAAGCTACATCCCAGCAGGCCACATTGGGTAGTCTGGGATCAAGGTGCATGGTTTAGAAATACAGATAGCTGGCACTTCATCCCAGCAATCAACATTGGGTACTCTAGGATCCAATCTCATACCCAGAGCCTAAGTTTCTTCTGGCCTGCTGCAAAGAACAAGGACTCTGGCATAATCCATTTTTTGAGACTAGGGTTTCTTGGAATTCTGGTTAGAGCAAATGCGTTTAAAGACTTACCAAAAATAAAAATAATTTTTTTCCGGTTTCTAATTTTTATTTTGAAATAAACACAGAATTCTGTTTAAAAAAATGATTTTCATTGATCATATTTCACTTCTGGAAAATTGCGCATGCGCCAAAAAATGGATTATGCCAGAGCCCTCGTTCTTTGCCGCAGGCCATAAGAAATGCAGGCTCTGGAGTCACAAGATTGTCTAGGATCAAGCTACATCATGGCACCCAACATTGCATACTCTGGGATCAAGGTGCATGGTTTAGAAATACAGATAAGCTGGCTCTGCTATCAGCTGTATTACTGTTACCACAAGGCCTTTAGAAATATCCTAATAATGATCTCTGATGCTATACCAAATGGAGAATTTCATACTCACCTTATTGACTGCTGGCTTATTGGAATATCAATCAACTTGGACAGAAATGTTCCACCGCCTAACTCCCATATATGACCCACATCCTTGGCCTTTAAATTGCAATAACAACATTATAATAATTATGAAATGTTCAACAAGTTTTCAAGTTAATAAATTTATTCAAGATAAATACTAGACTTCAATGTTTTGGGTAAACTTTTGGTTTACAGCTGCACATACACGAACACCATCCCTAAAGAAATGATACACTTTTCAATAAAAGTGTTTTAATTAGCAACGATCCATGTCTGGCTGCTTTTTTATAAATAAATATGTAATCAAACTATTAAAGAAAGAAATGAGGCAAGATACTTATTACTGTTTCCAATCATTCTCAAGAGAATGAAATAACAAAAGACATGGTGGCCATTTTGGAGGATATATTACAAAAGAGACCTAATGACAAATCTTTTGTTAAAATCATCCATGGCAAAAGCTGAATGGAAAACCATCAATTCAAAGCTAAATCCAGTGACAGTCATCCGCAATAATAATAGAAATGTTATTTTTGAATGTATGACAGTTACATGTAATTATTATTTTAGCAACTGCTAGTATATCATTAATACTTACGATATTGTGACCTTTGGCTTTTCTACCAAATGTATAATCTAAAGCCGTTGTTGATTTTGGTGCCTCATCCCTGTCATAGGTCACAGACAATTATTATCATTCCTACGATCCACTCATGACAATGACAAATTATCATTCAATACAAAACAATATAATAAACTTTATTTGAAATTTGGATTTATGATAGCATATACATGCTAATATCTCTGAATAATTATAAATATTCTACTAATAAAATTTATCAACAATGAATAAAGATTAAATAAATTAAGAAAATAAATTAAATAGATTAATAAATTAAGAAAAAATAGATAACGATACAGATATTCAAACAACAAATGGCACAAGGAAAAGCTGGAAAAGAATGGCTACAAAATGTGCTCATTAATCTATGAGGATTTACCACTCCATGTTGAATGGTAAGCCTAACTGGTTTTTTAATCCAGTAGAAGGCATCTGATAGGCTAAAATAGATTTTTTTTCGAAGTCAGAGAGGAAAAACTGGAGAAGAACCTTCCAACCATAGCAGAGAATCAACAAACAATTCTTCTCGCATCATAAAAACCAAGCCTGGGAATCAAACTTGGGTTTCATTGGTGAAACCTGTTGTGCATAAGCAGTGCACACCACCCTCACTACCAGGGGCATAGCAAGGTYTCAATCATAGTGGGCAATGTACTATTTCCCTGCTAAACCCACAGCAATCCCACATGAATTAATTAAGTTTTGGTGCTGAGACCAAACATTTGATGGGGTGTGTGCGTCCCATACCCCCTCCATACACTAGTTCTCACTACATTATATATCAGATCATGTGATCTGACTAAATAATATTATCAAACAGATCATATGTTGAGTATAATGAAGTAATAATTAATTACACAATGTATTTTCTATGATACAGTACCTGTCAAGAAATCTCAAAATCACAGAAGTTTTACCCTAATCAAAATAATAATAATACAAATAAAATACAAGACATGTACAATAATGAATATCTACAAAATAAGATAATATATTACAGGCAGATTTCTCACAAACACATGAGTCAATATTCTGCCAAATCAGTCATATCAAGGGCTTGTCTTGAAATTGTTTCTTTTTAACTGACTGCCGCCAGTCAACAACATTAAAGGTACCAACTGATTATTTTTTATTTCAGCCGGAAGCTTTAAACAATACAAAGAGTTTTCATAACATCAGGCATCCCAGCCACTTTTTAGACAAATTTGATAGGAAATATAGGCTGTGCAAGTTCTAAATATAGGAAAATATGGGATTTTTTCCCAAAAATACATATGCACTAGGAGCTAAGATAGCTTTTCAGTGCCATAACCAGGGATCGGCCATAAAAAAAACAGAACCACAAAAAAAAAGGGGGGCCATTTTATTTCCTTCAAATATGAGAAACAGTGTAAAATATAAATGTATCAATCAGCAGTCGTCCTATTTATAGGAAATATAGGAGGTTTTCTTTAAATATAGGCTCTTTATAGGATCCTATACAAATTATAGGAAATATAGGATAAATAGGAGGTCTAGGATGCCTGTAACATTGAAAACTGCTGTAATCATCAAATACTAAGGCAATGCAATATTGCAAGTTAATTATTGTGAACAGCTTTATAATTTATTCTTAATGGGCTCATAACTGAATACTATGTACTTATTGACTGAGTTGGAGGGCCGTACTGGAAAATAATTGGCTCGAGGTAATGCTGTACGGACCAAGTGCAGCGAGGTCCGTACAAATGACCGAGAGCCAAATATTTTCACATACGACCCGAACTAACTCAGTCAATAAGCATTTTATCATATGACCCTAAATAAAATAGATATTTCAAAAGTTGCAAATTATGTCAATATGGTCGCAGGTTTTGAGCAGGGCTGCACGTGTATTGCCCTGCTCGCTCAAAGCCATATGGCCCTGCTCACGCCATTTTCCCGAAGGTCTTTTTAAGAGCGCGTGCCCGGGCAGATACAGGTCATAATTATGATAAAATATAATATTGTTTACCAATCTCACAAGGCTAAGTATACTTACGGCATTTTTACTTCCAATTACAAAAACACTTGATTCATCCCCATGTGGAGAAGATACATCTTGGTTACCTGAGAGAGCTGTTAGTAAAATAAATTATACATTGGTCCACAGGCTGTCAGTAGGTTATATTGCTATGGGTTTATTGGTAAAAAATTGATATCTGGTTGATGGTAGGTTTCAATAAGATGTTGGCAGAATAATGATAATATAGATTTATAAGAACATTTATGGATTGGGAATCTATGTGGTTTTTGAGAGGGGCCACAATTTTTTTATCCAAATATTTTTTGAGGGAGGAGGGGTGGAGTAGGATGGGGGGGGGGCTATTTCATGGTTTATATTTTACAATTATGGAGGGGCAGTCAAAACTTTTTTTTAGGTTCATAAAAGGGGTTCATGAAAAAATGTCGTTTTAAACCTGGAATCCTCCCTCTTCCAACTAAACCCATATGAATGATCCCTAATGACTTGGCATCACTTGTTACCTTGTTTAGCTAATTCTTCTTGGTCGTTATTTCTTTCTTCTATAGCTAATTCCCATATTGTCTTTTCAGAACTAGTAAAACAACATCATAATCAACATTTACAAAAAGCTTGATGTGTTTACAAATGGCTGCCGTTGTCAAGCAAATAAGAAAACTACTTGCACTGCAAAGCAAGCCAAATGATTCAACAAACATGAATGCGAAAAGGATATTCTACCTTTTAGATCCCATTACTGTGCGAATAGAACGTGTTCCTTTACATAATTGTCATCACAAACTGAAAATTCAACTTCTCTTCAAATGTGTTGGTTACTACTTCATGTAAGACCTCATGAAGTGGCACTAATAACTCTTGTTTTATGGCACTAATACCTCTTGTGTTGTGGTGTGTGTGCTGGTGTCTGTCTCCTTGTGGCTCCGTTGGCGTTTTCATAGCTATCGTTACTGCTTGGCTTACTTGAGGTGATTGGCTTACTTCAGGTGCTTCACTTACTTGACGTGCTTGGCTTGCTTCAGGTGCTTCGCTT